ATTTGCAAATATTTTCTTTCATTCTGTGGGTTGTCTTCGCTATTTATTTATTTATTTATTTATTTATTTTGCGGTACGCGGGCCTCTCACTGTGTGGCCTCTCCCGTTGTGGAGCACAGGCTCTAGATGCGCAGGCTCAGCGGCCATGGCTCACGGGCCCAGCCGCTCCACGGCATGTGGGATCTTCTCAGACCGGGGCGCAAACCCGTGTCGCCCTCATCGGCAGGTGGACTCTCAACCACTGCGCCACCAGGGAAGCCCGTCTTCACTATTTTGATGGTGTTCTTTGAATCACAAAATTTAAAAATTTTTATGAAGTTCAAAATATCTATATTTTTCTTTTGTTGCTTGTACTTTTGGTGTCATATCTAAGAAACTGTTGCCTAATACCAGATCATGAAGAGTTACCCCTATGTTTTCTTCTAAGAATTTAATAGTTTCAGCTCTTAAACTTATGAATTACTTATCGTATACGGTATGAGAAATGAGTCCTGCTTTATTCTTTTGCACGTGAATATCTAGCTGTCCCAGCAACGTTTGTTAAAAAGGCTGTTCCTTCCCCCATTGGCACCCTTGTTGAAAATTAACTGACCATAAATGTGAAGGTTTACTTCTGGACTCTCAATTCTATTCTGTTGATCTATGTGTCTATCCTTATGCCAGAACCACTCTTTCTTGATTATTGTAGCTTTGTAGAAGTTCTGCATTCAAGACATGTGAATCCCTTATTATATTCTACTTTCTCTAGATTGTTTTGATTATTCTGGTCCTTTGAACTTCTAAGATTTAGGATCAACTTGTCAATTTTCTGCAGAGAAGCCAGCCGAGATTTTGATAGGGATCATATTGAATTTTTAGATCAATTTGGGTGTATTATCATCTTTTTTTTTTTTTTTTTTCCTTGTGGCTGTGTTGGATCTTCGTTGCTGCATGCAGGCTTTCTCTAGTTGCAGCAAGCAGGGGCTGTTCTTCGTTGCTGTGCATGGGCTTCTCATTGCGGTGGCTTCTCTTGTTGCGGAGCACGGGCTCTAGGCGCATGGGCTTCAGTCGTTGTAGCACGTGGGCTCAGTAGCTGTGGCTCGCAGGCTCTAGAGCGCAGGCTCGGTAGTTGGGACTCACGGACTTAGTTGCTCCGCGGCATGTGGGATCTTCCCGGACCGGGGCTCGAACCCGTGTCCCCTGCATTGGCAGGCGGATTCTTAACCACTGTGCCACCGGGGAAGCCCGGGAGTATTATCATTTTAACAATATTAAATATTTCAGTCCACGACTGTGGGATGTCTTTCCATTTATTTAGATCTTCTTGAATTTCTTTCAGCAATGTAGTTTGTAGTTTTCCAGAGTATACGTTTTGTACTTCTTTTGTTAAATTTATTCTTTTTGATACTATTGTAAATGAAATTGTTTTCTTCATTTCATTGTGGATGTTCACTAGTACTGTATGTAGAAATAACTGATTTTTGTATATTGCAACCTGGCTGAACTCATGTATTCTAATAGTTTTTTTACTGGATTCCTTAGGATTTTCTACATACGAGATTAAGTCATCTGCCAAAAGAGGTAGTTTTCGTTCTTCCTTCCCACTCCCAGCAAAATGTAAGCTAGTCATTGCTGTGGCCCCAGTGCATAGAACAGGGACTGGCACACGACTGGTGCTCAATTATTTGAATGAATGAATGAGGCTGGGTCAGATGATGCTCCAGCCCAGCGTTCCCACTCCTCCTTTGGCACCTGCTTCTTGAGGGTCCCTGCCCATGTCCACTGGCGGGTTGGGAGCTCTCTCTTCCTCCCCCTCATCTCTAGCCCTGACCTTTTCTGTTTGTCCCCAGTCTGCGGGGGTTGCTGGAGCTCACCTTCCTAACAAGGTCAGAGCATTTTGGTGATTGGCCCCAGCCCAAGTTGCACAGTGAGCGTGAGGCTGCGAGCCCAGGTCTGCCCGACGGAGTCCTGTTGCTGCTTGTCACAGCCCTGGCAGGATGTGGGGAAGCCTTGGTCCCATCCTCAAAGACTTGTGGGGCTAGGAGGGAGCTCCTCATAGAGGCTTGGCTCCGGCGCTTTCGTCGGCTGAGAAACCAAGAGTATGTTTGTTCCTCACTCATGCGATCCCCTCTGCCAGGAACCGTCTCCCCCGCTTGCTACTCCCCCCTCTTCATTCGGGTCTGAGCCTGAATGCCACCTCCCTGCAGCCAGTCACCTTCCCTGACTCACCCCTTCCCCCACCCTGTCCTGGTGACACTGAGTCATCAGTGGGGTGACTGTCAGATGTCAGTCTGTGAATCAAGTCCAGCACAGCATCCAGCACCTGGCACATGCTTGGGACTCAGAGACATGGGTAGACGCCTCGGGTGCAGATCAGGGCGCTGCTGGCTCCACAACCCCAGGGGGTTCTGTCTGCCAGGCTTTCCCGAGCCCCTGACCCGTGAACCACGGTGATGGCTGAGCACTCTGACTCTGCAGTTGGACCGTCCTGAGTTCAGATCCTGCTTCGTCCATCCCTGGGGGTGTGACCTTGGGTGGTCTCCGGGAGCCTCAGTGCCCTCAGCTGTAGAAGGGGTGGCACAGAGTCTCCTTCCAGGGTTGCCGTGAGAAGGAGGCCAGCCCGTGTTCAGGAGATGCTCAACCTGTGCTGACCCTCCACCCACCGGCCCCCGTCTGGCCATTAACCCGAGCCCCTCCGGTCTCCAGGGTGTGGAGCGGTTACTTCCTCAGCTGTCCACTCGCCGTTCCTGTTAGGTGGGATGAGGCTGGAGATCATGTCTTGTACGCCTGCCCCTCCCTTCCTGAGCGCGTCCTGCCGTGGCAGGGGGGCTCATTTCCACCATGTGCCGCTGCCACCCCCGGGGCCCACCGGCCCCTGAGGCAGCTGGAGAGGCTCGGTGGACTGCTCGCACTGGCTCCCACTCACCCCCAGGGCACAGGGCGCCTCCCCAGTGGGGGGGGGGGTGCTGAATTGGTGGGCTTGGTCGTGCTCCTCAGGTCCAGGAGGCGCTCCAGGGGCTGGAAAGCCAGCACCCCCTCCCCGACCCTGCCCTGACCCAGCGGGGAGGGTTGAGCACGTGGCACCAGAGCCAGGCTGCCGGGGTTCAAGTCCCTGTTCTGCTCTGCCAGTGGTGGGCCTCGGGCCGGGGTCTTAGCCCTAGAGCTCCCGGTTTCTTTGAACGTGGGCTTGGACTACGGGTAGCAGCTGCCCCAGACGGTGCGTGACCTTGGATCGCCAGCACTTGGAGAAGGCTCCTGTGGCAGCTGGTTTTGTGAAGTGCTTTGGGTGGTGCCTGGCGCACAGAAGTACCGTATGAGCGTTAGCTGTTGTTGTTGTTGTTATTATTATCATTGTTATTATTGCTGGTGAAGAAGGGGGCTCTGGAGCCAGGCGGCACTGGGCTGAGGGCCAGCTGTTTCCTGGCTGGGCAGGACTGGGCAGTTTATCTAGCCTCAGTTTCTTCATCTGTAAAAAGGGCCGGGAGTCCATCCTGGGAGCACCGTTGTGAGGCTCACTTGAGATGGCCAGTGGCCGTCCAGCTGGAGGGAGGTAATGGCAGACGAAGGAGCTACCCGAGACCCCAGAGCAAGGTTGGGGGTGGGACAGGCAGTGCTGGAAACAGACAGCTGCCCCCAGCCTGATCTCACCCTCGCCTTGTGTTTTTTCATTTTTTATTTTTATGTTTTTGTTGTTTTTTTTATAACACGTACACAAGCAGATTCTTGTTATGAAAATACAGTCACTTTGTGATACAAAGTGAAAAGTGAGAGTTTCCCTCCCCGTCCCAAAGGTAGCAGGGCCCTCACGTCCCTAAAAGTGGACCCTGCACCCTTGCACTCACTGTCCCTCTGACCTGCAGGGAGGAGGTGCAAGAGAACTGTGTGCGGTGGCGGAAGAGGTTCACCTTCGTGTGTAAGATGAGTGCCAACCCGGCCACCGGCCTGCTGGACCCCTGCATCTTCCGTGTGTCGGTGCGCAAGGTGAGAGGCCAGGGGGCGCTGGTAGGGCCACTGGGCTGCTGGCTTTAGGCCCATGCCCTGAGTGAGTCAGTCAACCCCTTTTCTTGTCCCCCTTCCCTGGGAGTCAGATTGGGGGATGGGGTGGACTGGGGAGACCCATGAGGTCCCTGGCATCCCCTAGTCATCCTGCTGCCTTTGTCTGTTTCCCATGCAGGAGCTGAAAGGTGGGAAGGCTTACTCCAAGGTAAGCGGGGCCATGTGAAGGGGCGGTGGGGTGGGACGGGATGGGTGGATGGGACAGGCATGAGAGAAGCTCCTAGACTAACCTCCAGCTGCGTCTCTTGCCCCAAACAGAAGACGCCGTGCCCTCCATGAGATGTATTATTTTTTTGAAATATCTTTTTTTTTTTTAAATTTATTTTTGGCTGTGTTGGGTCTTCGTTGCTGCATGCGGGCATTCTTTAGTTGCGGTGAGCGGGGGCTACTCTTCGTTGCGGTGCGCAGGCTTCTCGTTGCGGTGGCTTCTCTTGTTGCGGAGCACGGGCTGTAGGCGCGCGGGCTCAGGAGCTGTGGCTCATGGGCTCTAGAGGGCAGGCTCAGTAGTTGTGGTGCACAGGCTTAGTTGCTCCTCGGCATGTGGGATCTTCCCGGACCGGGGCTCGAACCCGTGTCCCCTTCATTGGCAGGCGGATTCTTAACCTCTACACCACCAGGGAAGTCCCTATTTTTTTGAAATATCTTTATTGATAGTCTTTTCACTTAACATAAAGGCAGTGGATGTTTGTTGCAGCACAAATGGGACAGAGGTTTTCAGAGTGAAAGGGTGGTTTCCACCCTAGTTCTCTCTAGGCCTCCTCCTCAGACTCCACCATTTTGATTTGTTAGGGTCTTTCCAGACCTTTTTTTTTTTTGTGGTACGCGGCCTCTCACTGTTGTGGCCTCTCCCGTTGCGGAGCACAGGCTCCAGACGCGCAGGTCCAGCGGCCATGGCTCACGGGCCCAGCTGCTCCGCGGCATGTGGGATCTTCCCGGACCGGGGCATGAACCCGTGTCCCCTGCATCGGCAGGCGGACTCTCAACCACTGCGCCACCAGGGAAGCCCTCCAGACCTTTTAAGAAAAAAAAAATGCGTGAAATATATGTCCAGAGCCTTGAATAAAACGTGTGCATATGGCTTAGAGGATCATACAAGGCTCACCCTATGTGTGTACTTGCACACATGCAGGTGATATGATATTTAAATTCACAAGAGGGACTTGTTCTAAACAGATTCTGCAACTTGGTTTTTTACTTACCAATACATCATGGGCATGTTTTTCTGTCATCACAAATTTCCTTTTGCTGTCTAACAGCGGCGGGGCCCATCGTTTGGCTGGGTGAAGAGGGCTCGGCCAGGCCCCGCTGTTGCACATCTGTGTGGTTGCCGGGCTTTCCCTGTGCCCACAGACAGTTCAGGCCTACGCATTAAAACCTTTTCCACTGGGGAAGGTGGGGGAAGACGGCTCTGGAAGGGTTACCTCTGGCTTTGAGTCAGCCTGCTCTGCCCTAAGCCCCCTTCTCGTGGGGACTCTCGCCCACCCTCTGCGGCCTGGGGAGGCGCCCGGCAGCAGGGGATGGGCTCAGTCAGTCCAGAGGGGACATGCCTCTGCCTCACCTCACTCTGCGTGGAGAGCCCGAGGGAGGTGCTGCGCAGGGCGTGTTCCTTCCCACCGACCAGAGCCCAGGAAGCTCAGTGGACCAGGCCTTGTACTCCGTCTTGGCCGGGGCGCTGATGCCCTCTCCAGAAGCAGAGGGCAGGGTGGCTAGAACCGGGCTGTGGAAGATGCTTCCGGAGTGGAGATTTCTCCTCCTGTTGATGCATGTGGGTGAAGGACAGCCAGGAGAGAAACTGCCAGCCAACAGCCGGAAGTCCCACCTCCTCCCCCTCCCCCCACACACCTGCTATGTCACATGTCAGACCTGCCAGGCCCTTCCCTTCCGTTCTTTAATCAAACCTCCACCACAGGCTCAGCTCCCCTTAATCAGAGGAGGAAGCTGAGGCCCAGAAAGGTGGTGAGGCTTGACGCTGATCAGGCCTAATGTCAGCTCTGGCTCTGCCAGTTAAGGTGTGTGAGCCCCTGAGCAAGTCACTTCCCCGCTCTGAACCTTAGTTTCCTTGTCTGAAGCATGTGCCCTAAGCTCTGCAGTAGAGACTTGCATGCAGCAGGTGCTCAATAAATGTCCCTGATTGGCTTGGTTCGTCTTCCAGGTCGCCAAGCCCAGCATCCCCCCAACCTCAACCTCCAGGTCTGGCAGACTTGGCTTCCACCCAGGAGGCCTTCTCAGCTCATACACCATGTTCTCACACTTTCTCGCTTCCCTCCGCATCCCTTGCTCCCTTCTGCATCGCAGGAGCAGCTGGGAGTTCCCACCAGCCCCTCACTCCAGCTCCCGCCAGGGTCTCCTGCTCACCCTGCAGTGCCCTCCACGCTTGCAGCCCAACGCCAAGTTCCCACGGGCCTTCCCTCCCCTCCTGTCCGCTGGCCTGGTGGCTCCCACAGCACGGCCTTGTTTCCCAGGGAACAATGCGTCTGTGTCACAGACAACAATGTCCTTTCATCTCGGGCGCTGCCCTGGTGCACGCTGGGACACGGCACAAAGGGTGCTTTGTGCAGCTCAGGGATGTGAGCTCCTGGCTTTGCCACGTTGGAGCCGCCAGCCCGGGCCTCTGTCCTTGGGTGCCGGTTATGCAACAGTCATTCTGGGCCGTGGGGCGGGCCCGAGGGCTCTGCCTCCCCTCCCCATCCCACCTTGCCAAGCTAACCCTTGGGCTGCCAGCCATGCGCCCGCACTCCCCTCAGCCTCCCACCCTCTCCTCTGTCCCCACAGCTGGGCTTTGCCGACTTGAACCTGGCGGAGTTTGCAGGCTCGGGCTCCACAGTGCGCTGCTGCCTGCTGGAGGGATACGACACAAAGAACACCCGACAGGACAACTCCATCCTCAAGGTACCAGGGCTCTGCTGCCCCATCCACCCCCTCCCACCAAGGGGCGGGGGCAAACGTGCTCCTTGTCAGAGTCCCCTGAACGGTTGTTAAGAATACAGGTTCTCACCCCAGACAGGCAGTGAGAGACACTAGGAAAGACGTGGGCCCTGGGGTCAGGAAAGCACCATCGAAAGCCTGACTCAGGCACTGGCCTCAGTTTCCCCATCCATAATCAGGGTCAGGGGCCCAATAGTCTCTTTAATGCCTTGGTGAGCACTTTCGGTGAGCTCAGCGTGGCTGAGTGCTTACCACCCGTTATCTCGTGGTTTCTGACAACAGCCCCGTGGGGTGTGGTATCTATTATTGGCCCCAGTTTTGCACCGCAGGGGGCTGAGGCGCAGAGGTTAGATCATCCGCCTGGGTCACAAGCAGAGCTGCCACTTGAGCCTGCGGTCCAGCTCCTAACCACTGCCCACACGTTATGAGGCAGCCTGAGCTCCCAGAGCATCAGTGAGCAGATGGACTGCCATCCCCGGACCTGGCAGAGCCGGGCAGCTGCTCAGAGGGCCCAGCCACGGGAAGGCTTCCAGCCGGGGCATCACCCTCCCCCCCAGGCAGCTGCCTCTTTGGCCTCTTGGGACAGAGATATCTGGGCATCCACTGCCAGCATGCCTCTCTTCCTCGTCCCCACACCCTTCCACCTGGCTGAGAAAACAGTCTTGTTGTAACCACACCTCTGCGAGCTGGCCCAGCGGGAGCGTGTTATGCCTGGCAGAGCCGGGCAAGAGGTGGCAGGCAAGGGCTCTGGGGCGTCCTGGGCCTTTTGCCAAAGAAACCAGAGGCACCTGAAAAGGTCCAGGCTAGTTGTTGTGAGAGCCAAGCCCTTTCAGCCTTGCCCCAGTGGCCCAGTGCATCCTCAGGCCAGATCAAGGCCCCAGGGGCAGGTGGCCTCCAGTTCAAGGCCATCTCCCCCACATCCTGTCTGCAGGGCCTTGAGCAGTCCCTTCCCCTGAGTCTGAGTCTCAGTTCCCTCGTCTACAGCTTGGGGCCATCACGTACTTTGTGGGTTGCTATCATGGCCAAATGAAACAATCCATTAAAAACAAAGCCTCACCCCAGTGGTCAACATTTTTGTCAGAGGTGTCCCTGTGACCTGAGCACCTCTTTCCCACCCCATCACCCCTCTGCCTGTCGCTCCGCCCCAGCCCTGATCTGGGGACCCAAACCTTGCCCTGTTTAGACCATTGCCAAAATCTTTGCCCGAGTGGATGTTACATTTCTAATGGCTTCCTGCTTTACTTTATTCAACAAACTTTCACAAGCTCCTGCCCTCTGTGTTGGAATCTGTGAACCCCTCCCCACCGCGTAGGCATCGAGAGCTTCCCTCCCACCTGCTCACCTGCTCTGAGGGCTGCGAGGGGCGCAGAGGATAGAGAGTGTCTGCGGCTCCTCCCTTGAGGGCCTCACAGTCTGTTTGTGGTTTTGCAATGACAGTAGCTGACGTTCCCTCCTCACTCACCCCGTCCAGGCGCCCAGCGTCCTCTCCACTATTCCACGAGGTAGGCGTTAGGATCAGTTTTGTCCTCTGCACGACGAAACTGGGCTTCACTGAAGTTTGGTGGCTTCGCCAGGGCCAGCAAGGGACAGAGATAGGATCAGAGTCCAAGCGCATCTGAAGCCAGAGCAGGGAGGCCACAGGGAGGCCGGGCGCCTGGGTGGGGGGGTGGATGGGGCGTGGCTGATTCCTCCGGCTTTTGCACAGGTCACCATTGGAATGTTCCTGCTCTCTGGAGACCCCTGCTTCAAGACGTGAGTGCTGGTACAGGGCGCCGGAGTGGTGGGGGCTCTGTCCTGGACACGGGGAGGGGGGACGAGGGACTGTCCCCTCCCCCGGGCTCTTGGGTTCCCCTGTCTTCTCCGACCCCAAAGTGGGGCACTCCGGTCACACCCATCTGTCTTTCCAAGGCCGCCGTCCACTGCCAAGTCCATCTCCATCCCAGGCCAGGATTCCTCCCTGCAGCTGACGTGTAAGGGTGGCGGGACCAGCAGCGGTGGCAGTGGCACCAACTCCCTGACAGGGTCCCGGCCACCCAAGGCGCGGCCCACCATCCTCAGCTCAGGTACTGTTCCTCGCCTGCCCTCCCTACCCCTCCCACGGCCGAAGGCTTTTACCTCCCCATATCGCTAGGTCCCAAGGGGGATGCTTGCCGAGGAGGGAAGGCTAGTGGGATGGCGTGTACCCACCCATGCTTCCATTAGGCAGGCGTCTGAGCCCCTCCTGTGATCTGGGCTCTGTGCGTGGCCCCAGGACCACAGCAGCGCCCTGGACCGAGACTAACCGGGTCCCTGGCCTAGCAGGAGAGACGGGTGTCAATGAGACAATAAATATGTCAAATGCATGTCCACCTACAGCTGTGACGAGAGGTGTCAGAGAGACACAGAAGGTGTCCGCCTGGGGACGACCGGGGAAAGCTCCCTGAAGGGGTGTCATTTGAGCTGAATCTGGGGTGTGGTGTGCAGTGTTCCTGGCAGAGGGATGTCCTGCGAGCTCCTGCTCTGTGACTGGCTGCGTGACCTTGACTGGCCGTTTTGCCTCTCCAGGTCTCAGCGTCCTCCTCTGCAAAATGGGATCAGCAGTAGCAATCACATCTTAGGTTGCTCTGGGGATGAACTGAGCAAACGTACGTGCGTGCCTTGCCTGGCCCCTAGTGTGTCCTCTATTTCCCAGCACGTGTTTTGTTAAATTATCGTTATTACTAATATTATGAAAAATGCAAATGAGCTTGAATCCCCAGAGGAATCAGTGTGGCAATTAAGAAGGGGAGGTGATACCAGGAGAGAAGGCTCCAGCCTGCACCACCCCCCAACCCTGGGTGCTGTGCGGGGTGAAGCAGGCCCCTCCGAGCATGAGCCTTGGCCTCTGCACCCCTTCCCTGGGGGTGAGCTCAGGGCTGGGAGGAGGACTGCCCCTTAGCTGATCAGTAAGCAAGGCGGCACGCGGCGGCCCTGATTGGTGCCGCAAGAGCAATTAGGGTACAGGGCCTCAGGCCCTGTTTGCTGGGTGATTCTGCCCCCAGGGGATGGGAGCAGTGAGGGACCCTCTGACCCCAAGGGCCAGCTTCCCTCCACTCCCGTTTTTCCTGCACACCCAGCCTAGTGTGGCCCAGAGCTGGGGGCTGCATGCAGGAATGGGGGCTCGCCAGCTCCATTGCTCTCTCCAGCTTCAGGGTGGGGGTCCCCAGAGGAGAGATCTGGGGACCAGGCCACTCCAGCAAATATGGGGCCTTTTGTGCAAAGTAGAAGAGGTGCCTCTCCCACGGGGGGTGGGATTTGAGCCCCCACAGGCCTCTATAGCTGGTTTTCTGCCTCTCGTTCTCCCTCTTCTGCAACCCCTCAGATGCGGAGAACCTGCTGACTTGAAAAGCCATGTGGCTTTGGGTGGGGACACAGGCAGGCCTGGGGTCCATCCTATGGCCTGGGTGTGCTCATCTCCGAAGAGAGGATGGATGAGTCCTTGCTTCCTGTGTGGGGGGGGGGGGGGGGGGGGGGGGTTACTCATGGAGCGCTGGGCAGACCCTGCCTGGTTCCCTGGAATCTCCTGCTGTCACTGCCTGAAAGTGTGTTCCCCGCCTTCTGCACCCCCTTATTTACTCCACTCCAGCTACACAGACCCAAGCCCATTCAAGCCTCAGGGCCTTTGCTTATGCCGTTCCCTCTGTCTAGAAGGCCCTTCCCCTGATGCTGCTTCCTTCTGGCTTGCTCCCTTCCACGCATCCTGAAGGTTTCGCATTAAGGCCACCTCCTCAGAGAAGCCTTCCCTGATTCCAGACTGGGTCAGACCCCCCCCTCCCCGACACGCTCCCTACTCTGCGCCATTAGCCA